AAAAAAAAAAAAAAAAGAAATAAAAACAACAGGAAAGAAGTTTTAGCAAAACGGTGCTGAATTTTATCACAGTATAGTCCACGAAAAAAGAGGAGCCTTGCTGAGTGATGGTGAATAAGACCGATGACAGCAGGAACAGAAAGCAGCTGTAGTTTCGCAATTTAACATTCAGAGCAGAGAAAGGTGACAGATCGGGAGATTCTGGATTTTGAAATTTTGGCAAAGTTTCTCCCGGGAAGCATCAGTTGTGCACTCAAGACGCTCGCAACAGTTTTTTTTTCGTTTTTTTTTTGCAAGTACTGAAGAAGCTGATGTTTGAAACAGAATATACCTGAAATAAGCTCGTGCATTCGATTAACTTCGAACTCCTTTCATACACAGCAAGTCCTTTTGTATATGCATTTTCCAATTTCTTTCGAACATTTGATGACATACAGGAAGCTTTATCTAGAAAAAGACCTGTCCGGGAGGGTTTTAAGGCGAACGCGAAAGAAGCGCCCTACCTCCTGCGATAGTGTCCAATTTCGGCTGTCATTGATGTGAGAATGTTTTTCAGACTCGACTCATTTTTCCACTTTTTTGTCAAAAAGAAACCAATTTTTTGCTGACACATTTCTTTTACCCTTGAAACTGGACAATCCGGAAAAAAGACAGTTCCCTGAAACAGAGCCACTAAATCACGGTAGCAGACCGTAAGAAAGAGTCTTCGCGATGCTGTAAAAAAATGTAATTGGAACCCCTTGGGTGACACTCGAGCGACAATGGATCGAGATCATCCGCAACGACCCGAGCTTCATTATCTCAGAAGGCCCACAGAACGGGAGTGAAATCCGCCAGAAGTTTTCATTAAAAATTTATAATTCGACAAGCTCAATCATTTATTCATACTGAGCTGCAGCAATTACTGCCTCAACACACCTCCTTCATTCACACTGCTGAAAAACTGTGAGCCACACAACTAGAAAATTTCGTAAATTCGCAGGTGAGTATTTTCATCTTTGGAGAGTTCCCACTGGAAAAAGTGCAAACCCCTGAATCTGTTTTTCCAAATAAATTCGCAGTCCTCTTATTCTGAAGACTACTAGGGTTCATCAAAAAATTATTTCGATGTCTGCAACACGACCAGTTACGGTTAGTCATTTTTCCGCGCTTTTTATGCGCTGCTGCTTATGTAAATGATTGGAATCTCCTGGGAAAATGCATCGAAATCACAGCAAGGCTCTGGTCAATCAATTCGGGTTACTGCTGCTAGAGGCTACTTGCCTTTACTGATCGCTCTTATCATAACAGTTACAGCCAGTTTGCTAAATTTTCGTACCAAATGATGCACAATCGCCACACTTTCTGCTTTATCATTTTTTTGCAGAAAGTGTGTTTCTCTCGAAAGATGCTCCTGGCGTCAAATGAAATACGTACTTGGACATTCAACAGAGTCTTCTTCAGGGCCTGTGGTAGCGTGAGCTTTGACACTAAGGTGTGGATGATTTAAGTCGTAGAGATTGTTCACGCCGCCAACGTACAGACGGCCTGTGGATGGATCGATAACCTAAAACATAAGATAAATATTTTTCCTAATAAAAGCAAACCTTCGTAATTTCTCAAAGAAAAAAAATAGATCAGAACAAAAATCAGTGGCAAGAATTGAATCTATAACTGACCGGGTCAAACAAAACTTAAAAAACTTTTTGTTGCAAAAGAAACGCTCAACTAATAGAACAAGATAAAACTGCAGTGACCTGGGAAGTTCCGGAGCTTGAATAACAAGTTAGAAAAATTAGCTCAGCGCTAGCGGTGATTTGAAAAATTACATGTAATATCTTAAATTTGTAGAAAGTGCAAGTTAATTTCCAATATTTTTTAACGGAAAAAAGGAAGAAAGTATCAAATTCAGTGGATGAAACAACTTTCCACAGCCTATGTTTCAGACCAGAGAAAAACCTCACGATTACAGTCAAAATTCGAAACGGAATTAAAAAAGCAACAGCAAATCCAGTTAAAAGCAATTAGAAGAGAATGCGGAAAAGGAGGAACTGATGAGACTGTCTCTTAACACTTAAATGATTCCCAATACTCAGAAGCGGCATGAGACAGCAGATTTTGCCTTCCGGAGTGTGATACCAATAGCAAGCTGAGGTGTTCAGATCCTTTCAACCCCGCTTTGATAACGTCAATTTGTAAAACGCCAAATTATAACTTTATTCCATCATCTCAAGTCTGGAGGCTGCCCACTACAAATAACATCCCACAGTGTCCACAAGCTTTTAAACGTATTCAAATGGATGTCCGAATAAGGCGTGGAGTAACTGGCTGACGTGTAGTTTTTTGGGAATCCAACAAGAACGCTTCCAGTCGGAAAACATCACGCCCCAGACGCAGCACGTAACTTTTTTTGCTGGATCGGAGGGGAACAGAGCAGCGAAAAAAATGAGGGAGAGGGAAAAAACAAAAGTCGCTAAAATTCCACTTCATCACCTACACCGTCCCTTTTCCTCTTCCCACCTAGCCTCTTTATTAGTCATTCTCCCAGCCCGCCCTCCCACATCTGCTGATTTTGAAGCGCGCAGAATCCATTTTAACCAGGTAAAGGCCAGCTCAACATAGACAGGGATGTTACCTAGCCGGTTCTCTGGATGTGTTCTAAGGATCATACTGAGTTTGCGGGTGGTGAAAGTTAAAAAGCTCAAAGACATCCAGAGGGAGAGAAGAACGAGTCTGGAGTGAAACCTACGATCTGCCTGCTACGTGTCTGTCAGTCCAGTCTCTAATTCTGGATGAAATACATCCAGTAGTTACGCAGCTTAATGTGAATACTGCTTCTAACGTATTGTGGGACTTAATGTGAATACTGCTTCGAACCTACCCATTTTGCACTAAGGCCTTTGCATAACGATTCCTTTTCGGTAACTCTTAACACATATCATCACCGATTTGCAGGGACAAGCCAACATCGCTGATTTTATTTGAAGAACGCCTGGCTGAGCTATTTTACAATTATACCAGGCAATATGTCGGCTTAGATAGAACTGCAGTAGTGTAGCGAGGAGAAGAACAATGATGATGTCTCCGACATCCCCGGGATCATCGAATGAATTTGACTTTTCCCAAAATTCGCAGCATTTTAACACTACTGTCCATTATTTTTCATACTTTCGCAGCGCCAGTTAAAATTTAAAAAAACCGGTCTTTTCTGACACGCGTTTTCAACAGTCTACCAGAAATGCGCACCTTTCCCTCTCACAAAAAAAAAAAAAAAAAAACTCAGAATTCTCTGCCTAAAATAAATTCAGGCTGACCTGCTGTTTTTTTCCACCATAAAAACTAAAAAAAATATACCATTTTTTCGAAAGGAAGGTTTTCGTTGTGGACATTTGGATTGATAAATTCGGCAACAATATCCTCCGGGGACAGGCTCACATGGACAGTAGCCGCCGTCCTGTGGAGGATTGCTGTGAGAAGTAGTGGTAGAAGCGGCAGAGCAAGGTGGCGGTGCAAAAGTCGTCGGATTCGTGGATGATGAAGGTGCAAATAAGGAAATTGCGATTGCTGATTGCGCATCACATCTACTGCCACACTTCATCTCATATCAAAATCCAACAACAACGCAACCAGTCAAACAATTTTCGGAAAACGTTGACCAACGTCCAAGACTGCACGCTCGAGTTCCCGGATTCTTCGCCAAATGCACCAAATCCGGACGCCGCTCGTCGATATTACCTAAAACTGTGAAAAAGTTAACGATGTAAGCTTGAGGTAAAACGTCACCGCCGTGAATGCGCTACTGATGAATATCCGAAGTGATACTTTAAGTTGTACACACAAGACGGGAAAAATTGCTTTCTTTTAAAAATTGCGAGTGTTTCAATTTCGTCCGAACAGGAACAGAAAGGGTGTAAAATCAAGCTGGAAGGTGCAAAAGTTAGCAGAAGAAATTCAATCGAAGGAGGTTAAAAAAAATTTAACAAAAAAAAAAACGAAGCGATTCAGCCGAAAAGCCCATAAAACTTAGCTAGAGCGACATAAATATTTAATGGTAGGTGTTAAAAACACGTTACAATGCAAACAAAGTGCTAAATTTTGACAAAAGGAGCCAGTTCAGCTAAGCAAAGCCGCTTCTCAAACTTATCGGCTCTCCGATAAATACTCGCAAGCAAGCACCCAAAAGAGCTCTCAAAATGACTAAACCATCTGAGCACTTTTGCTAACCCTCCTTCATCTTACCAAGACGCCTCCAAAAATTTGGACGAAATATTAAGGTTATCTATAAAACGC